CAGTTCTGTACCTGCGAGTGTCTGTCATTGATAACCAAACGGAGGTTTATATCCGAATTGCCCTCGTATAATGCTGAATTTTGGTTGGGGCTGCCAGGATCAGCACCAAACGTGTGGAGCTGCTTCTCTGGATGATCCTCACTGACCAGCTGGCTGGTTGGCCCTCTGAATGGCCAGCCTTCCCACGATCAATGCCTTGACCACCAAACACAAGGCTGCCCTTGCAGGCCACCCCTGGGGTCACTGAACCGAGCAGAACATCGGTGGGCCTCATTACCCCCCATTTGGGACTCCAAGCTTTGCTGGGCCCCACCCTTTCTCCCCCATTTCAGGGGAGGCACTCCCCGCTCTTCCCTGCCCCTTCTGCTTTGGCCTGGCTGAGCCACACTGGCATAGACGCCCCGTCCTCCTGCCAGGGCTCACGTGGGGGTCCAGCCAGCCAGGCAGCCATCCGGGGGTTGAAGGGTTCCTCTGCTGCCTGGCCGGGCTCCCCTCCAGGCCCTGCCCGTCAGTCAGTCAGTCAGAAAGAGTGTGTGGGAGTCCTCCACAAAGCAGGAGGGTTGGGGCCGCCTGGCTCAGCGCTTCCTCCACCCGGAATGTCTCTTTTGCTGCCTGGGAGAGCCTCCTCTGCTGCTGCCCAGCTCCTGGGGCAGGAGAGAAATGCCTGAGCCAAAAGACAGGAGAAGAACCGGGAAGCCAAGCTGGTCTTCGCTTTCTAAGACTTGCAGGCACTGAAGGGCCCAGCGAAGCCCCTCTTGCCCTCAGCCCACCCAGGGTAACCAGCAGGCACTCCTAAGCAGGAAAGGCCTGTGCCAACCTCTGATCCCTGGGAAAGGCCTGAAGGCACCCCGGCTCTTCTGGGCCTCCTTTGGAGGGGCAGCTTTCCAAGCCCAGCCCTGTTCCTGAGAAGACCCCTCCGTGCCCTTCATCAAGGCTCCTGGATACAAAACTCTTTGTCTGAGAAGCAGCACTTGACACCCAGGGACAGGAAGGTCAAAGGGGTCAAAGGAAGTCCTTAGTCCTGGGCCCAGCATCCGTGTGGGGAAAGCCAGCTCTCCGGGGAGTTTCCCTTAGAGAAATCTTGGCCAGAAGGAACAAATAGACTGCCTCTGAACAGGGAGCTCTAACTAGTGCAGCCGACTGATATTCTAGAGCTACCCTCTTTTCCTTAAAAACAAAACAAACAAACCACACCTGTTTGTGCTAGTGGCCCTCAGTTCCATTCTTTTGGAGGTGAACCCCTATCCCCTATCTCTTTAAAAAAAGTAGGAATTTAGAAACAATCTTCTGCCTTCTCCCAATTTCCAAAGCAATAGGACACACACCCAGGGGCACCGAGCCTCTTGCCTCCCTCAAGAGAATAACATCACAGACCACATGTTGGTAGGTTGGCAGGACACCAAGGCAGGGAAGCAGCTCTGGTTTTAGACTTTCTCTCCCCATCAGCAGAAGTTTGGGGACGCTTTTGCCCAGCCCCACACAGAAGCCTGGAGGAAAGCCCGACACCCCCCCCAATTGCAACCAGCCGGTCCCCACAGCTGCTCCTGTGGGAAGAGGCTTCTCTCTAGTGAGATACTTGCCATTCCAGGCTTTCATTCCTATGCGCGCGCGCACACGCACACACACACATACACACACACAACTACTTGCTCCTGGAGACACAGAGGGAGGGGAGGAACTTGCCCCAGAGAAGGGGGCCGGGCCCCTTGCTTCAGGGGAACTTGACCAAATAGATGGGCAGAGGCAGATGGACAGGAGCCATGCTCCGGCCATCCTAAGCGTCAACCGTGGCCCCATTCAACTGGCTCAGCCCCTCTTTGCATTTGTGGGGCTTCCTCAGTGCCCCCCCTTCGTGCTCAGCTGTTTACAGTGCAGGCAAACCAAGCTGGCTTGTGGGGGGGGGGGTGTCGCATGGCAACTGTGATGTTCTCCAACTGTTATATCGCTTATCCACAATTCCCTATAAATACCAAGCCAAAAAATAACCTATGAAACTCGCTGCCACCAGATGTGGCCATCTGCTCCAAAGGCTTTAAAATGGGATCAGGTTAAGCAAGTGGTGGAGGCCTCTCTGTGGCCAGTAGGCACGGGTCACTCAGGAGTGTCCTTCTTCCAAGCAGCCCAGATGGCACTTCTTGAGCATCCCAGGGAGTTTTCCTGGACACCAGCGAGGATGGGCCAGAGCCAAGAGCAGGCAGGCAGGTCCCGCCCCCCCCCCAGCCCCTGCCCCCCTTCCTTTCCTCCTCACCTGCGGCCACCACCTCGGACTCGCTCCTTTCTGGCTTTACTTGAAAACAGCGCCACCTAATGGGCAGATCGCCTGCGGCACCGTTTTTCCCCAGGCTGAGGCCGCTTTTTACATTCAAAACTTCAATGATACAACTTGGTTTATTTAATGCTATGGCCTTTTGATATTGCTAGGAAATTAAGAGAGAAACAGGCATAATTTGCCCTCTCTACCGGTCTCCTCTGTTTCCTGAATCTATTGGGTAATTTTTACCAAGCCTGTTTTAAAAATCAGAATGGAGCTGGAAGGGACCTTGGAGGTCTTCTAGGCCAGGGCTTGTCAAACAGTGGTACGGGTACCACCTGTGGTCCATGGGCACCTGGTAATCCTAGAAAAGTGGTAGTGGGGGAGGGGAATGAGCCGAACCGGTGGCAGCACCGCACAAGATACAGGGCTGTCAGGGCTCAGCGGAAGCGCCAGGATCAGTGCCGCTTTCCAGCTGATCGGTGCTTTTTCAGGGCTGTCAGGGCTCAGCGGAAGCACCAGGATCAGCACCAGGCTCCTGGTGCTTCAGCTGAGCCCAGAAGAAGCGCCGATCAGCTGGAATGTTGCAGCATCTCCAGGGTCTTGTGTGTTACATTCAGATGGTTGGCAACTGATTCATATTTATGACAGTCCCAGTGTCCCAGGGTCATGTGAAGGGACCAAAATCTGCTGCAACCACCCAGCAGACGGGGGGGGGGCGGGATAAAAACCAAACACCCCCACCCCTGCTGCCAATCCTCAACAGAAATGCTCACAACAATGAAAACCTCGGAGAGGAGGAAGAGCGCCGCCGGGCGGGCAGGCAGGTGTCTTGCTCAGCTGTGGCTTGGGGGGCACTTTTTTCCAGTGCCATTGTAACTTTGAACAGTCACTAAGCGAACTGTTGTAAGTTGAGGACACCTGTACTTTATCACTTTTTTTTTTTTTTTTGGTCATCAAGTTTTTGACACCTGGTGGTCCTCGGATGTTGCCATATCCTAAAAGTGGTACAATGGGTGAAAAGGTTGAAAAGCCCTGCTCTAGTCCAGCCCCCTGCTCAGGCAGGAGAACCTATATCATTTCAGACAAGTGGCTCTTCTTAAAAACCTCGAGTGATGAAGCAAGGCCAGCTGTTCCACTGGTTAATTGTCCTTACTGTCAGGAAATTTTAGTTCTAGGTCGCTTCTCTCCTTGATTAGTTTCCATCATTGTTTCTTGTCTTGCCTTCTGGTGCTTTGGAAAATAAGTTGACCTCTCCTCCTTGTGGCAGACTCTCAAATACTGGAAGACTGTTATCATGTCCCCCCTAGTCCTTCTTTTCTCTCAACTGGCATTCTCAAATCCTGCAACTGTTCTTCAGGCCTTTAATCATCTTAGTTGCACTTCTTTGCATTTTTTCCCAAAGTCTCAACATCTTTTTTGTAATGTGGTGACCAAAACTGGATGCAGTATTCCAAATGTAGCCTAAGGCTTTATAAAGTGGTACTAATACATCACGTGATTTTGATTCTATGCCTGTTTATACAACGAAGGGTTGTAATAGCTTTTCTGGCTGCCGCCGCACATAGCTTACTCAGATTTAAGTGATTGTTCACTAGGACTCCAAGATCCCTCTCACACTTACTGTTTTTGAGCCAGGTTTTGCCTAATCTGTACTTGTACCTTTGGCTTTTCCTGCCTAGCTGTAAAACCTTGCTTTTCTCCACAGTAAAAATGATGTCGGATAGGGTCCATTGTTCAAGTCTGTCAAAATCTTTTTGGATTCTGAGCTCGTCTTCTGGGGTGTAGGCTATACCTGCCAGCTTGGTGTCATCTGCAAATTTGATGAGTTCCCCTTCAATTCCCTCATCTAAGTCATTAATGAAGATATTGAAGAGTCCTGGGCCTCAGATGGAGCCTTGTTGTATCCCACTGCTTACTTCCCTCCATGTAGATGTAGTACCATTAAGGATGACTCGTTGAGTATGGTTTGTCAGCCAGTTACAAATCCATCTTGTGGTGATGCTGTCTATCCCATTTTTCTAGCTTATCAAGAAATAGGTTGTGGTCTACTTTGTTGAATGCCTTGCTGAAGTCTAAGTATGCTGTGTCCATAGCATTTTGCTGGTCTACTAATTTAGTCACTTTGTCAAAGAATGAAATGAGATTGGTTTGGCATGATCTGTTTTTAAAAAAACCTGTGCTGGCTACTAGTAATAACTATTTGTTTCTAGATGTTTGCAGATCTATTTTTTGATATTTTCCAGCATCTTCCCAGGTATTAATGTCAGGCTGATTGGTCTGTAGTTTCCTGGGTTTGTTTTTTTCCCATTTTTGAAGATGGGAACCACATCAGCCCTTTTCCAATCCTCTGGCACTTCCCTGGTGCTCCAAGATTTTTTCAAGATATGGTGCAATGGTTTTGAGATAACCTCTGCTGGCTCATTCAGAACTCTGGGATGTAATCTGTGAAATTACCAGTATCTCTCAATAACAGGAATATTATTCAGAGAATCTTTTCATATTTTTAGTCAGATGAAATTCATTTCTCTATCATTCTTTAATTAACTCTCCCCCCCACCCCCCATGTTTTCCTTATCCACTAGATTTGGTTACTGTGGTTAGATTTTTCTGTTTTCAATGATTAGATTTAAGTTCTACATTTAATTGTGAATTGTATGAATGATGAGAATCATGCTGTACAAAACATAAAACAGAACCCCTTTACAGTTACACCCATAGCAATTTCTAGCAAATAACATTCAGTAACCATATTAAAAAATTTGAATAGTTTATTATAGATCTTAATAAAATGTCTGATTATATTAACAATCTGTGCAAACTTTTTATCTTATTCTTTTGATGGAATACTTAAATTACCAGGGAAGATCCAAAGAATTCAGTTTTCAGTAGCCTTCCAAACGCTGGTATAGAAACAGTTGAGCTCTTTTGATAACTTGGCAGTTTCAAACTAGCAGTGAGCGGAAGTGTAACCCACAAATCTGAATTTCTAAAGCTCTCCATTTGAGGAAACTTGATTTTATGTAAATTCTCAGGGCTGGGAGTGACAAGTATTAAAAAGCACCCACCCACCCCTCTCTCAGGCCTGCATACCATCGCCTCTCCCAGCCTGATTCTTGCCAGCTGCCCCGCTGGTGGGAGAACAAACTGCCCCTCCAGGAGATCAGCGCCAAGAACCTGTGGGGGGCTGTGGGCGCCAAAAGGCGGAGGGAAACGGGGAAGTCCTTGGCTTCCTCAGAGTCTAGCAACTGAGAGAGGAAGATGTTTGACTCTAGAGATAGGGTCTCCAGACTTGCAACGTTCAGTTCTTCCTGAACCCTGAAGCTTTAGGCTACCTGGGCTGAATGACCGGGGTGTGCGAGAGTGTTTGTGTCTGAAGAGGGCTGGACTGTGGGTGAAATGCTTTGCACTTAAAAAAGCAGCCTATCCTTGACAGACGGATCTAGTGTTCTACAGGCACGAGGTTTATATGCCAAGGAAGCCTTCTGCCATGCAGGGATCTGCCCTGAGGCCCCTCTGAGGGGGTCTTCTGGGTTTCTTTGAAGCAGGACTGGAGTAAAGCAAGCAGCACTACGTCTCTTTGGCCTCTTTCCAACAAGGACCCAGTAATCCACAGCTGTTGCCCGAAGCACATTATTTCTTGAAAAACTTCTTGTTCAGAAGGAAGATTAGAAGGTTGACGTTGATTTTGGCTTTGTCAAACATTTTCATGACAGCCACACCTTCATACTGGAGCTGGAGGAGGTCCTGAAAGAAGAGACAGGGGTCCAGAATGGCGCGGGGTCTCCCGCTTGAGCTGCAAGAACCCCAAGGCCCCTTTCATCCCTTCTGGGATTCTGAGCTTTCAAAGGATATTTCCAAATAGAAAATGGGGTAATCTAAACTCGGGCTGACCAGAGCAGGGAAAGACTGAACAATGCTGAGCTTGGTTGGCTTTAACCTTGGTTAGTTCCTTTGTAACTTAGCATGTTATAACTGCGTTGTTTGCAGCTTTGCATGTGGTGTGACCTGTTTGGATTGTGTAACCCATTCAGTGCAAACCCAGAATTGACCATGCCTGTTCAGCGACCCAGTTAACTCCGCGTGCGAGTCTTTCAGAAAGATGGAGGCTCTCGTAGGGTGCAAATGAGCAACCTGAGAACTTTTCCTGCTCTGTGTCTTTTTCTCTATCTCAACTTTCTCTGCCTGGTAACTAATTTTAGCCCGTCAGGCACCAGTTCTGCACCTGCAGATGAACTGAGCCCTTTCCAGGCTGGGATCAGGCCCCGGGTGTGGGACTCGGTCCAAGCCGATCACTCATAGGGACCTCAGGGGAAGGGCAACTTCCCGATCTCCCGGTGGCCCCTCTGACGCCCCGGGATCCCTTCCAGGACCACCTCCAAGGGCAGGGAGAGGAAAGCCTTGAGCTCCATTTGGCTTCCTCCTCTCTTCTTTTTCTCCCATTTAATACCTAGGAGACCCTGCCAGGGGACGCAATCGGAGTGAGCCCTTCTGAGGACTTACTCAGGCCTTCTTCTCAGACAGATCCCTCTCCTGTTCCCTGAAGGCTCTTAGGATCTGGTGGGGAGAGGCTGTGGGCTCAGCCTTCTGATTCCAAGGAAATTCCACTCTCCGTTCTGTGGCCAGAAGCGCCTCTGCCCAGCTCCATCCTCCGCCCGGCCTCTAGGCTCTCTCGTCAGTGCGGCTTAGGGGAGGCTGCCCTTAACCCCCCCCCCTAAAGCTGCAGCAGAATGTCCCCATGTGAACTATTGCTAACAGGGCTTAAAATATTTTAGAGGTGATTGATTCGAGCGATGGGTGTACAGAACTGTAATGTGTTTGTGCCTCACTCAGTCTACTTCCATCGGAAAGGTGGTAAATAATTAAATAATCAAACTGTATGGAGGGAGCCCTCGTCAGTTGCCCCCTTACCTGGTAAGTAAGCTGAAAGTTTTCCATATCGATCCCCATAAACTTCGCCTTGACCTGAAACTTGCCAGCTTCCCGGGAAGGGATAATGTCAAAAATGACATTTCTAAGTCTGAAAAAAAAAAAAAAAAAAAATAGGGAGAGGGGGAGGAATTAAAGCCATGAAACTGAGAAAATGGAATTGGGGATGAAAGATTTACTTTTCCCACAGCACGATAAAAAAAAAACGTTCAGTACACCAAGCTGAGATTTCAGGTGTTTTATTCTCACTGAGGACTCTCTGTCACCCACAGACAGACCCGGAGGAAGCCCAGATGGGGGCATCTGCATGGAAGAATGAGGGGCAGCAGGAGCCAGGAGGGAGAAGGGAGAAAGGGGGAGATCCAGACTTACTGGTTTGGTGGGAGGTCCTCAATCTCCAGCAGGACCCCCTTCTCAAACAGACGGGCCGCCGTGTAATGCAGCACAGCCTGTTTCTTGCTGGGCCTGAAGGGAAAAAAAAAGGGGGCAGCCTGGATATGGGAAGGTGTGGTGGTGGGGGGACGCCAACCCTTGCCTGCCCCCACATTGGCTTTCCTCCACTCAGGCCCCAGCGTGGTCAGCTTGGGAGGAGCAGACCAGGCTCCCAAGCCCCACTGGACTCCGGTGGACTCCGCCAGCCTTCCCAGGGTGGACCTGGGCACAGCTACCAGCCGAGGAATGCCGGGGAAGGGAAATGGGGGAAGCGCCAGCGTTGCAAGCCCTTTCCAGTGGGGGGGGGAGCATCTGCCACGTTCTTTTAGTGGATCCCCTGAAAAGCCACCAAGGAAGGTGAGGTGGGGGCCGCAGCCTCCCCACCAAGGAGGGCTCAAGGCCATGGGGTGTTTCGAGATGAAAGATGCAGCCAGAACCTCCCTTGCTTGGCCAACAGAGAAGCTGCCCCATAACTGGAGCAGATTCTTTTCAGGCAAGGTGTGGCGTCTCTAGGGCGGCCCCCCGAGGCAGAGGGCCCAGATCTGCGCTCCCTCCTGCCCCACGGCAGCTGGGTCCCCTCGATACCCAAGCCGGCCGGGCCCCATACTTGTCTGTGGCGGCCAGGTTGTCCAGGCAGGTGCGGAGGTACTTCTGGTAGTAGTCCACCTGCTCCTGGTAGAAGCGACGCTTGGCGGTCAGACCTCGCAGGGTCTGCTGCAGCTTGGCCAGCTGCCCCCTGCGGCGCTGCCGGTGATGCCTCTGAGAGCGGATGTCCTGCGGGAAGCCGAGACCGGCCCAATGCCCCAGGCGCTCTGCATGGGCCCCTGCCCCTCCTCTGGACCACCTTCCTCACTCTCGGCAACTTTAAAGCGACTGGACCTCAACTTCCACCATGCCCAGCCGGAATTCAGAAGGCCGCTCCCACTTTGCAGGAGGAGGAGGAGGAGGCAGGGCGGGAGCTAAAGCGAGGCTCTCCCCCTCTGGAACTTTAAGGCCTCTGAACTTCAACTCCCAGCTGCGCTGGCTGAGGAGTTCTGGGAGCTGAAGTTCACAGGTCTGGAAGGTGGAGACCCCTGAGCTAAAGGCGCCTCCCTCCGACTCTTCCTTACAGCCAGCCTAAAAATGGCTTCCCTGCAATTTTACAGTGACTGTCAGCCAAGATGTACACCGCCAGGTAGGCCAGAGAATGAAAGAGGCCGGGTCCTGCCAACCCTCCCCCCAAGGGCACCTCCTCCGCTGCCTGGGTCACCTGGGCAATCTCGCTGAGCAGGGCCCGGGACGGGCTGGCCGAGCCCACCAAAGCCAGGCGTTCCAGGCGCTCCAGGACTTTCTTCTTCTTCTCCTCCAGGGAAAGATGGCGGCTGCCAGCCTGGGAGTGTCCGTGCAGTGCCCACTCCCGGTCCTGGGGGTGGCCGGTGGCCCTTCTCTGCAGTAGCCGTCGGTGGAGCTGCTCCTGCGAAAGAGGAAGCCACAACTGTGTCTGGCCGCTCAGTGACCAAGTTGCAAGTGAAGCCTGGAAAGCGACTCGGCCACAGTCCAAACATTCACGCCCAGCCAGGCGAGCACGTCTGTGTCCCTGCGCAGACAGGCAGCCCCAGTCATCCCAGCCCCAGAGCCCCGTTTTTACTGGCCTTCTGAAGGCCAAGTGTGGTTGCGGCCCCCTGTGCTGGGGGAGGGGGAAAAGACCATCCCCCCCAATAGAAAATGTGAAGGATTTTTATTCCCTTCTTATTCTCCAGATGGCTCTGCGTTTCTCCCAAGGTGACCTTCCCATAATCCCCTAACCAGGGTGACTCCTGCCAACGGCTCAGAGCTTCTGGCCTGGGCCCCCCTTCTCCCACAGCTTCATCCCGCAGGAGGGGAAGGAGCCCTCAAAGCCACCCGCTTTGCCTGGAGGAGGCCCATCCAGACTCGCCCCCTCTCCAGGCAAGCGGTTCCCTGCTCATCGCTCCACCCACCTCCTCTTCCGATGCCTCTGAGTGCAGGATCTCAGCCAGGGAGTCTCTGGGCTGGGACTGGATCACATCCACCAGCATCTGTTTGGTGCTTCATCACCCAAGGAGAAGGAGAAGAGGGCAGCCGGTCACTCTGGGCAGAACACAGGAGGTCGTGTCCCCTCCTCCCAGGCCCGCTCAGCAGCGCTCACGGCTCAGGGCTCAAAGGGTCACTGAGAAGCTGCCCAGCAGGAGGTCACACAGCCTGTTGCAATTCTAGAAAATTTACTTAGTCCTTTTACTACCAAGGAAATGGGGAGAATGGTTTTTGTGCCAGTGGCCCTTATTAACCAAACTGTGACCCTCAGGGAACAAAAAGGGGCGGGTCCGAATTCCGCTCTGAGCTACCATAATTGTAATTCTCCTAAGGAATCTTCATCACAATGCTCATGCAAAGCACAACCGTTTGGCAACTGCAGTAGAACAGCTGTGGCACCCCAGTCACCTGATTGCCACCTGCGATCCCACACCAAAGCCAAGGAGAAAAACAGCAGAGAAAGTTGCATGTTGCTCTCTTATGACTCCACCTCCAGGCCCGACATGCCCCAGCCAGCCAGCCCTGCAACCTGACAGCAGCTGCTTCCTGCCCTTCAACCTGCTTGCACGCTACCTCAGACTTGCCATTTCCCTCTGGCTTCCCCAATGAATTTACCAGTGCTTTTTTTCAAAAAAAAAAAAAAAAAAGAGGGTGCTGGAACTCACACACGTCATACAACCCGCCTTGCCTACCCTACAAGGTTCCATCCAAAAAAGGAGCCAGAACTCCGTTCTGGGTGTTCTATGAGAAAAAAAGCCCTGGACTTTACTTTTGGGAAGCTGGTGGGAAGTTGCAAAGAGGTCCTTGCTTAACAGCCACGATCATCGCTTAATCATGGCCATGGGACTGCCGTTGCTAAGCAATGCAGTCAAGTAACATCATGCTTTATGGTCACAACACTTGGGGATGGTAATTCCAGTCCCAATTACCATCATTAACCAAGGGTTATCTGTAATTCTGTACCTTCCCCTTCCCACTGGCTTCCTATATCGCTGATCTGAGATTCCCTTTGTGCTCCTGATCATCATCCACTTGCTATTCACGAGATCTCCGGGGGGGGGGGGGAGCCAGGCCTCACCACCTCCCCTCACAAGGGATGCAGCCACCCACCTCAGCCACAGGCCTTTGGCATCTGTTTCCCCCTTGCCTTCGGCTTCCACCCCGCCGTATTTGCTGCTGAGGACGAGCGAGAGCTCCATTCTGGAGAGCCGAGACAAAGCATCCTCCCAGGTCCCGTTCGCCCCTTGTCCCAGGCTGTGGCCTGCAAAAAGACAGCAATCCAACAGGTTTGGAGGAGTAAAGCAAGCCAGAAGCCTAACAGCCTTTTGAGGAGGATGCCTGCATGGATTGGAAGACTAAAGTATGGGATGCCAGCCCTACCAGCTGAAGGACAGGGAGTGAGGAGATGCCAACAGAAGAGAATCTCTGTAGCTCAGGACTGAATCGTGAAGTCCTTGGTACTCTCTGAGCTTGGTTGTTTTCTTGAAGACGTTTCAGGACCTAACTAGATAACATCATCAGATGGGGGTAGGGTTTGTGGAGAGGAGGAGGAAAATAGCTGTGGAGTCCTTGGTGCTCTCTGAGAGGGATTTTCTTGCAGGTGTTTCATGACCCAACTAGGTAACATCATCAGTGCTACATGGAAATAGGGTTTGCTCTCTTTTTATATACTGTGGTTTGTCCTATCAGTGTTGGTGGGAATACAGTTTTCTTCTTGGTAGTTCTTTGATTAGGCTGTTGAAGTACTCGAGAACTACCAAGTTAGAGAAACAATCCAATAATAAAAAACACGGGGGCCAACAGAAATCTGGTCCTGGCATCAGCACAGGGCTGGCCGAGCAGTTTGCTCGGGCATCAGGTGAGGAAGCCTGGAGAGTGGGGCAACCTATGGTGTGAAGCAATGTGGCCTCAAATGGGGGCCAGCCAGAGGTCACACTGGCCTGGGTCTCCTCAAGGACATTTGCCAGGCTGAAGGTGTCCTGAGAGGACTCAGCCTCAGAGTAATTGCGGGTCCCATTTTTGCGCCAGCTGGTTATTGCGGTCTCATGGCCCACACCTCTCAGAAGCAGGTCCCCCAAACCGGGAGTTGGGCTGAATACAGTGGTCCCACCACTCTTGAAAAACCTGGTTTAGTATTATAAACGTTAAGGGCCCTGTTTCTTGGCTTTGCTATTAATTGATTAATCATCACGACTGCTGTTCCTATTTATTTATTTTTGTGGATGTATTTACTGCTTTAATGTTTTTTAATTGTTTTATAATTTTAGATTGTAAGCCACCCAGAGTCACTTGGTTGAGCTGGGTGGCTATAGAAATTGACGGAATGAAATGCAAAAACTGAGCCATTGTAGAAGGAGAGACATGCTAGTCTCCAGCAAGCCAAAGTTACGAAGCGTCTGCTAGCACCTTTTCTTATTATTAGAAGTTCTGGTGAGCTGCAGCCTTTTATAAAATAGGCATACTGGAAAAGGTGGGAGCAGAGCCTCCTCTTTTGGGCAGGGACAGTGCCCAATCCCATGCCATAGAGTACAGGGAGGACACTGTCCTCAGTTTACCTCAACGAGGCAACAGTTGGCACCTCGCCAAGGTCTTGCAAAAGTTTGTGCAGAACATCCTGGGGACCGGGAGCCAGGGAATGCTGGTGCTCCAGCAGCAACTGTGGCAAAGAGGAACAAGCAGAGAATAAGGACATTCGCGGTGCATTATTTACCTCATGTGCCTCTCAAAATGGTCTTTTCAAATTGTGTAAAACAAAAATCATTTGAGTAATCCAAATACAGTCTTAATGTTCTGAATCAATGAAGGGATAAACAGAAATAAGACAACAAAAATGAAGAATCCGAGCAGCAAGAAAGCCATATAGACCGTTACTCTACACCAGGGGTGTCCAACCGTGGCCACTTTAAGACCTATGGACTCCCACCGGTCCGTAAGTCTTAACGTCTCCAAGGTTGGACATCCTTACTGTAAACCAAATGGCTCTGTGAAAAAGAGATATGGCCAGGGGAAAACTGGGCTTCATGGTTCAGGTCCATAAAAAACTATGAGCTTATTTAAAAAAGCCACACAGTAGATTGTTGGATTTTCACACGTCAAGCCATAAAGCATGGCTTGCAAACACACAAAATCACAAACAAGCAAGCCAGAGATTGGGTTGGCCTATGCACAAAAGCAATTATTTCTCTCCCCTTAAAGCAGATTTTTTTTCCTGACATTTGAGGTTTGCACCTTGTGGGTGTTGACCAGCTCCCCAACTGTTATGTAGACCACTGGTTTGGCGATAGCCACCAGCTCAGAATATTTGTCCATATTAAATCTCTCTTCGGGTTCAGAGACCGAACAGGCTGTGTTGATGAATGCTCTGGAAGAGACAGAAGGAAAAAACAAAAGAACATGGAATCATGGGAGCGGAAGGGACCTCGGAGGTCTTCTAGTCCAACCTCCTGCTCAAGCAGGAGACCTTGTACCATTTCGGATGCCTGTCCAGTCTCTTCCTAAAAGCCTCCAGTGACAAAGCACCCACAACGTCTGAAGGCAACTTCTGTTCCACTGGTTAATTGTTCTCACTGTCAGGAAGTTTCTCCTTAGTTCCAGGTTGCTTCTCTCCTTGATTAGTTTCCATTCTTTGCTTCTTGTTCTGCCTTCAGGGGCTTTGGAGAACAGGTTGATCCCCCTTTCTTTGTGGCAGCCCCTCAAATATTGGAACACTGCTATCATGTACCCCCTGGTCCTTCTTTTCATTAGACTAGACATGGTGGGCCCCTTCCCTCCCTCCCTTGCAAACAGCCAAGACCAAGATCTTTGACGGGAGAGGAATGCTCTCTATCATACTTTCAAATATTTCATTTATTTATTTGAACTTGTTAACTGCCCAGCTCCAGGGGACTCTTCAGGATGAGCTGCCATTTTGAGCAGACCCTTCACCCTTCCAGCCATACCTTTTCCTTTGTCCAAAAGCCCAAGCAAGCCACAGGCTAAGCAGGGGGAGTAGGTGATATGCTTCCCGCATAAGGTGAGTACTAGGTGAATCCCGGTTAACGGGTCAGGGATGCCAATGCAGACATCAAAGCTGCCAAGAGCTGCGAATGGGGCAGCGGTCCCATCGCTCTCAGAGGGGGAAGGAAGACCACCGTGCTCCTCCTTCAGGGTTAGGGAGGGAAAGACCTGAAGATGACAGCAGACAAGACAAGACTGGCCTTTCATCTCCTGACCAACCTGAATTTCTGGTGTGCTTCCTCCAGGTACTGATTTACCACGTTCAAGTGGCTGTTTTCTCCCTCGAAAAGCTGGTTGGCAGCCGCGTGCTGCAGGATCTTGGCCACTGAGGCCAAATTGCGCCTCTGGTCGGGGTGCAGGGGTGCTCCAGCAGAGAGGTCCACAACATCAAAGCCGTCTGGTGCCACCACCGCTGGGTTCATGAAGCGATAGTAGAGCAGGTTGCCCACTACCTAAGACAAGAGGGAGCAAGGCTGGCACATGGGGAGCCCATCGTTTCTGGCGTGGGGGAGGGAGGATGTGCGCTGGCAAGTCTCCTGCTGACCCACCCATTCCTTGAACTGACCCACCCATGCCCAGGGCTTAGGAACGTGGAGACCACGGAGCCAAAATATGGGCACTCTTGCGAGTTGCTGTGACGTGGCTGGTCAGTGACAAAGGGGCCACCCTGGGGGGCGTAATCGTTTCCCTTAGGTGAGCCTCTAAAAACAACTCCCTGGAACTGCGCAGAGAGGCTTCTCTTGGCAGCCATGGAGTAGCGGAGAAGTGCCACCTGGGCTGTCTGAAGGTTGGAACCATGGCAGCTGGACTAACATCCTCTGGATTATTCCTGGTGGTTCCCATTGGAGGACCAACCAGTTAAGGCTTTCAAGGCCAATCAATCAAGAGGACGCTGTGACACTTGTGCTACCTTCACATGGAGCCTTCATTTCATCAGAAGTAATCTTTTCAGAGACCGGGGACAGATAGAAACAGCTACGAATCCCTGCCCTGTAGCCCATGCCATGCTGACTGAGAAACTCAGCAGCCAAAATAACCTTAAACGGAGGGAAAAGAGCAGACCCCAAGAGTGAGGGCCACGAGCCAGTCCTGCTTCTGCGCCCTGGCCCACCCCACCTTGTAGATCTCTTCCTTGGAGGCATCTGGAAACTTCTCAGTCAAGGTTGCCTTCAAGACTTTGGCCATGTAGCGCATTCCGTACCTGAAAGGAAAGCCAGATTTCATTTCTGGATGGGCAGGAATTCCCCCCCCCCAAGACACAGCTCCCATGTACGCCAAGAGAAAATGCTGGAGAAAAAGAGGGCACCCTGCAAAAGGGGGTCCATCTGTGACCCCTCTCCAGTCTGGAGCAATTCGGTGGGACGGTGGCTTTGGCACACATTAATTTGATGTGCTGAAAACTCCACCCCCCCTCTCTCTAGAACAGTGCTTCTCAACGTTTGTGTGACGGCAACCCCCGTCACACAAATGTTCTGCGCATGCGCGGCGGTGCGCGCATGGGGGTGGCGCCCCCATGCGCAATGCGCCCCCGCGGCGCCCCCATGCGCAGCGCGCGAGCGCAGCGGCGCCCCCATGCACCGCGCGCGAGCACGGCGCCGCGGAAAATGGCGGATCGCCACCTTTGGCGACCCCCGAAAAATAGTTGATCGACCCCAAATGGGGTCGCGACCCATAGGTTGAGAACCGCTGCTCTAGAAGTTGCTGTTATTTATTTGGCACATGGCATTTACAAAAGCGGTCTGTACCCTCTTTGGAGGAAACGTACACAAATACACCGCAGGACCTGTTATCACTATGTGGAGAGGGGACTGTCCCGGATATTGATTTTATATTTTAGCACAATGCCCTGCATAGTAATAAGGATTTCTGTTGTTGCTTAAACCCAACAGGGGCATTTGCCATATTGTCTAAATTCTAAAATCTCAGCCCGTCTTTTCGTCTGCCGGCCCTGAGGATACCCCTGCCTGAAACTTCACAAGAGCCCTGTGGCCAACTCCAACCATTGTTAACGCCTCTCGTGCCATTTCCTAATGTCAGCAATTTTATTCCTTGTTGGGGGGGGCAGGTTGGAAGCCAGGTGCCAACCCCAGAGGGGGGCAGCAGAACGAAAGAGACACGTGGCACTAAATCCGTACGGGATCTTCTCCACCGACGAAAGGATGGCTGAGAGAAACTTGTCTGCCAGCACGAGGAGATGGCCGAGGGAGACGTCCAGCCGCCTCTGGACCTCTGGGTGACCGAGGGCTTGTTGCGGGGTGACATTGTATGGCAGATGGCTGGGGAGAGAAGAAACAGGGGCAGCAACTAAAGCTGATGGAAAAAACAACAGAGTTTCATCATGTTTGCCGTTTCTACCTCCCACACTTGAGGGTCAGTGTTATTTTGCCTCATGCAGAAGACAAGTTGTGCATGCCTGCCAAGGCCACGTTTCTGCTTCCCTCCCTCCCTTCTTCCTATTCTTTCTCTCCGTTCCGTTCCATAAACCAGCCTGGGGCTTCCCCAAGATTCACAAAGGGAGATAGAAGCACCCTCAACCCTGCTCACTTCTTTGCTTTTTAGTACAAAAGACACAAAATACGATCTCTCTTATTATTTTTGTGTGTTTGTGTGTGTGTGTGGGGGGGGGTCCTGTTGCTCCAGCCACCCTGCGGTCTACGTGGGCACCACAGGCTCTCTGAGTCTCGCCATGAGATCCGCCTCCGGGATTTGCAGCCCCACCCACTCTGAACAGAGCCAAGCAGTGGAGAAATGCCTGTTATGGCCGCCCACCTCTGCTGTCCACTCTGGGACTCCATCTCGTTGATCCACCCTCTGTAGATCTCCACGGGGCTGGTGCGAATACTCAGGCTCCTGTTCTGCAGAACCTCCCACACCGGCTCTGCCAGGATCTGGCGCAGGGCGTTCTGCCCACGGGCATTGCGATAAAAGCTCACCACCATGCGGATCACAGTGGGGTTCCCTGTGAGGATCTCCCGCAGCTGAGTCACTTTGGACCTGGGAGGAAGACAGAGGCAGCACTTCGGACCTGGGAGGAGGGCGACCGTTCTGTGTCCAGCATCCTTTTATTCCAGAATAACCTCTTGGCGCATGGAAAGAGACGCAAAGTTAAAGGAGTCCAGCTTCCCCTCTGACTTTGCTTCCTGGAATCCAGCTAGAAAGGTCGTAAACGGTGATCACGTGATCCTGGGATGATTCAGCCACTGCAAATACATGCTGGTTGCCAAGCACCTGGATTTTGATCATGTGATTGTGGGGGTGCTGCGATGGTTATAAGTGCAAGGACCAGTGGTCACATTTTTCAGTGCCGTTGTAACTTTGAATGGTTGCTAAACAAATAATTGTAAGCTGAGGACTACCTGGTAGATTCAGCACTGGGCGCTGAAATCAGTAAACCTCAGCAGACATAAACAAAATCATAATTAAATGAATAATAGCCTTCACAACAGCTGGTAAGTGGCAGGAAAAAGACAAGGAGCAGGCCCCCTCTTGTTGTCCAAGCTGTATGACAAAGGACACGGCTGTCCCCAACTGCTGCTTCTCCTTCTAAGGTCTGCAGGAAAAGGTGATGCAAGACGTGTGAACCAGCATGACATGTCTTGCCCAGGAAGGGAATCCTTGGTGTCTGCAGGTCCCATAAAATGCGTTACACCAAATGCTGTTCAGTGCCCTCAACTGGGGTTTTCTCTCCCTGTCAGGAGCCATCCAGGGAGCCTGGCTGTACTCACAGGGGAGAAGTGGGGAGGGAGCGCCCAGGACTTACGCGATCTCCTCTTGCAGGGCACGCCGGAAGAGCTGGAGCAGGAGGTAAGCCTCTCTGGGGCTGGAGGCGTAACTGTAGAGGCTGAAGACCACCGACTCCATGAACTTGGTTGACTTGTTGGGTGGCATCTGGATGAGCAGCCTGGCCAGATACACTGGCTGAGTCTGGAAGGAGAGAAACACTAATGGCTTTCCTGGGCTGGGTGCCACATCCGCCTGCCCATGCCCAGGCAGCTACCAACCGCTGAACCGCCCAGATCAGGCAGAGCAGCGAATCAGATTCCCAGAGCAAAGCCACAACCCTGGGTGGTGCGTTCATCCAAGCTTGGTTGCAATTTGACCAGCAGAGAGAGAACAATTTATACAGATTACAAGACTTAATCCTTAATAAAACAAAGATGAAATATCTCAAGATTGCCTCTGTAATACAATGTTACTTTGAGAATTCTTGTTCAATTTTACACAACCTATACATTTCTTTATTCCTTTTTTCTTCATGGCTGTGCTAACATGTTTTAAAAAAAAGGTGCTGCCCAGGTAACAACCAAGGGGTCCCAACGGTAGCAAGGGGTCGCGCGCTCCTCCTGAAGCAGACGCTACCTAGTGTTACTCAGCGGCGGCCCCAACCGAGAGACCTGCAGCACCTTGTCAGGTGCAATGCTCCAAGTGAAGTGAGCCGCAGCTCGCAAAAGCTTTTCCTCTGCACGAGGTGTGCTAGTGCGAGGCCGACAGGTGCTGCCCACCTGCAGATGGTAGAAGAGGTGCTGATAGGCCTCCAGCGTCTTCCGCTTCTCCCTGCTGAGCGCCTTCAGCCCGTTCTCCTTGTTCTCGTCCATCCGGCTGGAGAGCTGCTCCTTGTTCTTCTTGGTCAACTTCTTGCAATGTGACACCACCTCCTGTCAAGGGGAGAAACCGGACAATGACACGACACCTGTGTCCAGCCCTCTTCTCCACTCAGGAGGGCATCTGTCCGAGGTCACCGTCACGATCCACGAGGCAGGAAACGGCCTGCCTCAGAGTGGGGGGTCAGGGTCCCGCTGGCAGGGGTGAGGGTGCAGCAGGGAGGGCACGTGAGACACTATTTCAACAGGCACCCCCCCACCCCCACCCCCATGGCAAGAGAGAACAAACTGAGAAGCAGCTTTGGAGGAGGCAGACAGAGGTGATGCTGGCAAGGAGAATATCTCTGCCACTACCCAAGAAATGTGGGTGACCAGCTGCACAGTATGTCAACGCTGCAAATACTGTATATTCTTGCTTTTGACAATATGCAGACTTGTCTGGTAATTATGGGGTTAATACAGAGCAGAAGGGGGGTTGGGGGTAAAGTCCAGGGAAAGAAAGAGGAAGAAAACATTTGACCTTCACACTAATTGGATAATGTGAGATATGACGGCTAATTTAGGGAGGGAACATGCTGATAATTTAACTGCTCAGAGGAAGAGAACTTAGATCCTAGCATCCCTCCGTTGTGCCTGTGTCCACATTTTGTAACAATAAAAGACTTTTAGGAAAATAATGCCTGGAAGTTCTTTGAAATGTTTCATTAGCCGGAACACATAACACTTCTGCCTTTGGCCGAAAGGCGGGATTTTCCAACCTTGGCCCCTTTAAGAAGCATGGACTTCAACTCCCAGAATTCTGTGTGGCTGGCCATGGAATTCTGGGAGTTGGAAGTCCACGTGTCTTAGTGGCCAAATTTGGGGAAATCTGGTCTAGGAGGAAGGCTAAGTGCTGGTCACCTTTTTCTTCAGAGGCTAAAGCCTGCATCTTCAGGTTAATTCCTACAGTGTGAAATATTTACTTATTGCTACTGCGTGGTTTTATTTTCATCTGACAAGGCAGCAACTTTCCCCACAAACTGGGGAAAGATCAGTTTATGAACCAAAGGAGAGCAGGCACTCGAACTCCTGCCCCTGTCGTGATGGGAGTGCTGGAACTCCTGTGCAGGAGCTGAGCAGCTTCCATCAGCTCTGACGGTGCCCAGAGTCGCACCCTCAGTCAGAAGCCCCTCCCCAGCTGTATGCAGAGATCTATTCCATCCCCTCCTGACCTGCAGGGTGATCCTGTTCTTGACCAGCAATCCAATCTTGATGTCCATGAGGTTGAGGTCGTTCTCCAGCTGCTGGTTGGAACGGATCCCCCTCACCAGCTTCTCCTGGAGCCCCAGCAGCTCCATCTCCTCCTGGTAGTCGCGCTGGCTCTGCTCCAGCAGGTGGGCGAAACGTCGGATGACGCTGAGTGGCGGGTCCCTGCTGTGCACTGGCAGCAGAGAAAGTGCAGGACCAGCCGTCACACGGGGTGTGGCCTCACTGCCATCAGGAGCCCCCCAAAACCACCCCCATCTTCAGGGCAGACGAGGGCTCCGCGTTGATCCCCAATCAACTGTGCTTCAGAAGACCCTCCAGAGCCATCCTGGCAAAGCCAGACCCACAGATCAGGCATTTCATTGGTACTCACATACACATCTTGAAGTGTACACAAATTCCCACAATGTTTAGGAAGGAGGAGCGCACACACACACACACACACACCCTGCCCCGAGCAAAGATCCGGACACTCACCCAGCACCCTATAAGCCTCTCTTGCCTTGTTTGCGCGAACGAAGGCCTGGATCCTAATCACGGCTGCAACCTGCCAAAAGACGCAGGGAAAGAAGCCGCCTGCTTTGAGCCTGGCCAGGGCACCTTTACCAGCTCACAGAAACACAAAAGAGGGCAAATCACATCAGTTTCCTCTCAACTTAGTTTGGTGTGAACCTGTTTGGGTTAATTTAGTGATTTTTTCAAGGATTTTTCATGATACAACAGCTGTCCAGATGGGCCAAGAGTACAACTCCCAGAATTCACCAGCCTGCAGCAGCCGATGTCAACTTTTCAAGAATTATCTGCCCAGGAACTGGGAATGAAAATGGTCACAGCAATTTTCTGCCATTCTCAAGACCTCCAAGAGGCTGCAGAGTCACCCACAGAGGGAAGAATCGTGGAGAACAGAGGGCAGTAAAAAAATGATCACTTGGAACATGTTGATCACAAAAAACTGGCTGTAAAAAGCTGGCCTGCTAAAAAGTCAACTGATCCAATCCATTTCTTTTTCCCAATGTGAATGGCATCCCTGCACATCTGGAGGGCGCACATTGGGGATGATGAGTGATAACAAAAGGCACTTTATTTAGAGACACATTAATTGGGAAAGCAGCACTCAAATTGGAGCCTCCACATTCAGGAGCAACCTGAGGATGGAGATGCCTGCAAAAGGGCTTGCTGGAAGCATTTGACTGCTCACCCCGTCCCCCCCCAGGAGAAGAGCCCCCCCCAACCAAGCAACTTCATAACAATCAGGACAGACACACTCACATTCTTCCTGAAGTAGCGCAGGCGCTCCAGGTACTGTTTTCGGGCAAGCCACATCCGCACCCAGGACTGGATCTGCCAGAGCCCAGATTGTAGAGGGAAAGGAATCAGTGCCACCACCGGCAGCCTCACAGAGAAGCCAAACAGTCCCCCCCACAGCCCACCACACAGTTGACACCCCACAACTCACTTTGATGGCAGCAGCTGTGTTCCTCCGCAAGTAGTGCAGTCTCTCCAAGTAGCTTCTGCGTTGCAGGTGCCCACGCCAGGTGGCCTGGGGGCAGAGGGCAAAGGTGATCCTCCCATCTCTGGGGCTCTCCCCTTGGCCCACTGAGCACAGCCCTTCCCTCTTCCACGGGCTTTCCCAGCCTCGTTCACAGATTGGAGGGGGGGGCTCTTCCTATGAAGCAGCAGCAGCAGATGCCCCCTCCCAAACTGGCCTCTTCACAGCTTTTCTCAGTTCCACCCCAGGCCTTCCAGCTAATGCCAAGTCTGTTTGGGGGCTTCTGACGGAGCTACTGCTAGGATCGAGCGTCACTGCTCCTCTGGGGCAGCAGCCCCAACCTTTTGGGCACCAGGGACCGGTTCCGTGGAGACAGGCTTTTCTGCGGACCGGAGGGGGCCTGGTTTCACGTGCTGCCAGCATCCCACAGATGGGGCTTCACTCGTTTACGCAGACCAGTTTTTGGCATGCTGCGGACCGGTGCCGGTCCATGGACCAGGGGTTGGGGACCCTGCTCTAGCGGGGGTGAGAGGACTCCCCGTATCGCAAGATGGGGTTCAAGGAAGGAAACCTGTTTAAAGGACGCCTGGTTGAGGAAGGCCCTCTCTCTGCAAAGGTGCAGCTGCACCCACCTGGATTTTGGTAGCTGCCGGCACCTGCTGGGATAGGAACCGTTGCCGAGCCGTCCAGTGGTGGCGGACCAGGAAGCCCCTCATCCGGGCCTGCAGCTGGACAACAAGCCAGGCATAGGATTGCCAGAGGCGCTCCCGGTCGTGTGCGGAAGACACGCAGTTGATGGCCGCCTGCAGGAGAGGTGTACAAGAGGCCCATTGGGACGGCTCACCTCCAGGCAAGGATTCCCTGCACGGAGAGCCCTCCCGGGGTGCCCACCTGCCCTAGTGATGCCCTTCAAGCTTTCCAGGGAAAGGAAATGTCCAGAGAGGAGGCAGGAAAAAGGGGCAGCCTGTGCCAAGACGGGGACCCTCTGTCACACGGTTCAAATGAGGTGGCAGCAGGAAGGACCTGGCAAGTCCAACACCCCCCATGGTGCCCAGAAGACGCCTTTCCACCCATCACAGCCCATCTCCCCTTCAACCTTCGCCCCCCAACTGTCCGTGCTGCATTGCATGGACTTGGTGGGATCCAGTGGCTGAGTGTTTGGCCCAGGGATCTGCTTCTGCCACACCCACCTGGATCTCCTCTTGGCTGAGATGGGCCGTGTTGAGGGTGAGGGGCCGGGGCTGCTCCCAGGACCCCTCAAAGGACCGCAGGTGGAAGTAGTACTCTGAGCCATCTCTCAGTCTGTGCCGTGCCCAGAGCGCCTCTGGGTGGCCCCCTGCACGCCCCCCGCCCAAAGCAAAACATTAAAGACGAAGATCAGGATGAACAACATAGAAAGCGGGGGGGGGCTCCTCGGTTTGGGCTGCAGCATGGACCCTCCCGCTTTTACCTGCCGGCCTTCGTGCTGCCAGGACAGCAGAGAACTGCGCCTGATAAGCCACGGCGCACTCTGCCACCAGGCCACAGAGGCCCACGTTCGGATTGCGCAGGACGCGCAGAGTCTGGGCTGCGTTCCCCTCCTTGATGGCCTGGTTGATGGCAGCAACGCCCAGGGCCACTGCGGGGAGATGCAGAGGGGCTGCGGTTGGGACAGGAAGCCGTGGGTCCGAGGGGAGGGGGACATCTCCCAAGCCCATCTTCCTCCCAATGGCTGCTCAAGTCCAGGCGGCCCATCAGCCCCTTTCCTTCTGGAAGGGACCCCAGAGAGCAGCCCCCAGCCTTACTTTGCTGTGCAGCTTTGCTGTCTTGGTTGGCCCTGCAGACCGCCTCTTGGATTTCTTCCCACCACAAGAGCGCTCCGGGGTCTCCTGTCACCTGCCCGGAGGAAACAAAAGGGCCCCATTCTGACCGAACCATCCAGAAACTGGGGATGCAGCCATTCTTCCCCAGACTGACTTCAAGGCTCTGGAGAAGCTATGATTGCCAGCTTCACAAAAGCCAAATCTCCTGTACATTGATAAAGCGAATCAAAGGTCTGTGCACGGGATGACCGTACATTTCCCACAGCAACCCTGTGAGGTAGGTCAGACAGAGAAGGCCAGCATGGGCAGAGTCCCTGTAAGCCTCACACCAAGAGCGGGTTGCCGTCACCCTCCACAGCACAGAACAGCATCTGACCAAACCACTTCAGCCGATTAGAAACTAGCTCAGCCGTTCCAAACTTTTGGCACCAGGGACCGGTTTCATGGAAGACAATTTTTCCAGACTGGGCAGCAGGGATGGTTTCGCATGTTATCTAGCTCCTGCACATGCACAGATGAAGCTTCACTCACTTCCATGAACTGGTTCCTAACAGGCCACGGACCGGTACCAGCCCACTGTCAGGAGGTTTGGGGCCCCCGGGCTAGTTAAAAGTAAAAAAGCCTTTCCTGGTTCACAGATTTTATGAAAAATCCAACACAACAAGCTCCAGTTATGTACATCAGAAAAGTGGTACCAGATTCCTTCTGATTTTTGGATCCCATAGACAGGCTCCCCCTGCAGTGCCTCACTCAGTGCTTCTCAACCTTGAGAACTTTAAGATGGGGGGTGGGGGGGGGACTTCAACTCCCAGAATTCTGGAAGTTGAAATCTCCCCATCTTAAAGTTCCCAAGGTTGAGAAATGCTGGTCTAACTAGTGGCACAACAGAAGACAAGCTGGCTTAGAATGGCGGATCAGGGCCAGCAGCCTGTGGTTCAAACCTCCCCTCTTTTGGGACTGTGGCGCCCTCACTGATCCTCCCAAATTTGGTACAAACCGTAGAACCACCAGTGCAGCTTTCTGCTTCAACCCCCCAAAAGTATCATCCATACGTGTGCAGTGCGATTCCCCAAGTTCCCAATTCGGGGAATTGTAGCACAACTGACTGGAGCAGGCAGTGATGCTATTCAGAGAAAGGAGGCAATAAAATGCGGCTGGTCTGGTTTCTGTCAGTTCATAAAACCATTTCCTGCTTCTGTGTAGCCTTCAGCGCAGCTTCCGGAGAGGCTCAGCCAGACCCAGTTTTGGGAGCGCCTGAAACTTTGGTCCAGGTGCCTGGTGGTGTTTCTGCATTAGCTCAGGAGACCCCACCCTTCTTTTCCTACCTGGGCCTTCTGTCTCGACATCTGGGCCAGAACAAAATGGTACCGCTTGGCTCTGGGGAGCATCACATCGGTGAGGTTGGCCGATGGCAGGAGCAGAGCCCTGAGGGTCTTCTCTGGACAGTCGCCCTGCAGAGCCTCGTTGATCAGCCGGACAGCCAGGATTTCTAAAAGAGGAGAGGGCGGCGTTGGCTGAACCCAGGGCCGGAGAGAAACGCTTTTTAAGGGTTTGGTGCAATTATCCCAATGGGGCACCTCAGGGTTACCTTGAGGCATCGCCTGGCTAGTTGCTGTTTCTGACTTGTGCATTTTAATGTTCAGGTTTTAAACTCTGGAAAAGGAATCTTTAGCAGTTTGTAGTTCTGGAATGAGTCCTCTATTTATTTTTATTTCTTAGATTTTTATCCTGCCTTTGTTATTAGGTGCAACATACATCTCCAAGGGAGATGGGCAATTAAATAATATGAAAAATAGCTATTATTTCCTTCTCCTGTTTCCCCCACAACAACAATCCTTGGAAGTGGGTGGGGCTGAGAGCGGGGCTGGCCTGGAGTCTCCCAACTGGCTCCAACGAAGCATCTGGTTTCTGGAGCAGAAGCCTTGCTCTCTGCCCCAGAGGCCCAGACAGGCCTGCAGCCTCTTTGCGGCCAACCCAAGCGGCCCAGAAGGGTTCTTTGGCTGGGAGGCCAGTTGCACCCCACACACGTCGTCCACCGCAGTTGACCCAGAGAGCCTTACTTTCCTGCTCTTTTTGGACGAAGGCGTTCACGTCGTTCACTGAGGCCTGGATATCGTTCCAACTCAGGAAGTTCCGCCGGTTCTCCCGAAAGAGGCACTTCTGTTTGGACAGGCTCTCGAAATAACTGCAGAATGGAGACAAGCGAGAAGGCCAGGTCGGAGCTGCAAGTAGCGTTACTTAGAAGGCAGAAATCCATCAGGGTCTACAGGCAGCCCTTGACTTACAGCCGTTCGTTTAACAAACGAAGTCGTAACTTTCTTGGAAAAAGTGACTTACAACCTGCACTTTTGCCCGTCACACCACCGGGTCAAGAGAGTGCAATCCAGGAGCCTGGCAACCCTCTCGTATTTACCATCTGTCGCAGCAATTGTGATTTGCAACTTTTTTTTTTTTTTTTGCCAATTTTCAGCAAAAAATGTCCAGTGAGGAGGCTGGATTCAGTTTATCATGTGATTTGCTTAATGACCGTGGTGATTCACTTAACTGCCATAAAATCTGTCATTAAATTGTGTCCAACACGACAACAACTTAGAACGGAAATTCTGCTCCCAGTCGTGATGGTGAGCTGAGGACTACCCATCCTCCAAAGGTGACCGATTTCAGGACCCTCGGCTGCCCTGCACCCAGCGCCAGACGCTGTGGCGGGGGCAGGCGGAGGAGGCAGAAGAGGGCGGGGCCCCGTGCGGAGCCAGGCGTCTTACCGCTGGGAGTGGCTCTCCTCGACGCCACAGAGGCCCAGGCTGGAGCTGAGGAGGCTCCTCCAGAAGCCGGCGCTGTCTCCACCCTCGAGGGCCTGGTTGACCAGCGCCACGGCGGACAGCATCTCCACGGCCACAAAGAGCTCTTCCTGGGCCAGCTTCCCCTGCCAAAGGAGGCCAGGTACCAGCTTTGTCCCAAGCCAGGTACGCCCCAAGGAAGCCCAAGCAGACGCTGCCAAGCCAGCCGGTGGCTTCCCCATCGCAATGCCCCCCCCCAGCCCCTACAGGTAGGAGACACCCACCTGCAGCCCAGGACATGCACCTGACTCTGCAAATGGACTTTGGAACTGTTCTTAGTCTAAATGTTTTGTAAAGAGTGGAAAGGACAAGAAGGGCCCATCCTTCTGATCTTTTAAAAAAGGTTTTGAAAAGCTCTGGAGATGAGATGGGGTGGGAAAGAAGGACTGCTCTGCAAGGAAGAAAGGCAGCAGCCATTTGAGGTGGTACCCTTCCCCCCCTCCAGGAAGCCTTCGAGGACCCGCTCACCTGGGGCTGCTGCCGCTGCAGGGCAGACAGGTCTTGCTGGTAGAGCTCAGCAGCAAAGGGGAAGACCTCCGGGAGCTGAGCCTCGGGCTTCGCCAGGGCGCGCACCGTCTCTTCCGCAATTCCTCTTCGCAAGGAGGCGTTGATGTGGCTCACAGCATGCGCGGCTGGACAGGTGCAGGGGGCATTCTCAGGTGTTTGAGAAAGGTGACTCCCCAGCAGGAGACCTCTCCCCAGGGGTTCTTTGTCCCCCAAAAGCAAGGCAGCACCCAACCAGCCAAGGCTGAGCCCTCCCTCAGGTCTTGTCCTGGAGCACAACTCCACTCACCAGCCCGCTCCTGATCACTTCTCTGGTTGGCCACATAAAGTCCAGCTTGAATTTCTCCTTGCTCAAGCAAGTCAACATGTCCCAATTCCTGAAGAAAGAAAGAAAGAAAGAAAGAAAGAAAGAAAGAAAGAAAGAAAGAAAGAAAGAAAGAAAGAAAGAAAGAAAGAAAGAAAGAAAGAAAGAAAGAAAGAAAGAGGAGCTCTGAATAAACCACTAGGAAGAGAGTTGGCAGAGATGATCAAGGTTAGGAACAGCCTTGATGGAAGAGGGTAGATACTGTAACCAGGAAAGCTGATGCAGCATCCAACTGGAACATCAGTGGGCCTCTTGTGATGTTCTCCAATAAATCATTATAAAAAGGAGTTTTTAAACAAGATCTGGGCTCCTTTATTAGTGTTATTGGAGGTTCCCCTCCATCAGAGTTCTCTGGAGGCTTCCTAGCCCCAAAGACGCTATTCAGATAAGACTGAACAAAATGGTTGTCCAACAATCCGGGACAGGGAGAAGATGACTTCAGGGGGCGCACAAAATGCTCCCGTTGGGTTTGGTGGCATCGTGTGTGTGTGTGTGTGTGTGTGTGTGTTGATTTCTCAGGCAGCTCCATTGCAGAATCCACCTGAAGGTGCCTCTTCTCATTGTCTTACAGAAGGCCGATGCAAGCGGAGTGCAATCCAGAAAGTTCCCAGCCTTGTGACACCCAAGGAGGGCCCCTTCTCCCCTTCCTGCCCCAATTCTGCTCCCCATTGGCATACCAGGGCCTTCTCTTCCCGGTCAGCAGAGAGTTGATCCAGGTACCAGCTGGCGTTGTCTCGCTGCAGGCTCTTCAGGGCTAGGATAGGATCTTGCAAAACGTGGTACAAGGTCTGAGGGTCCTGGGCCTCCAGAGCGTCCTCCACCATCTCAAGGGCACTCCTGACTGATTTAAAGAGGAGGAAAGGGTCGCAAAGGATCTCATGCAAAAACTCTTTCCTGGACAGGGAGAGAAGAAGGCCTCCTTCCCAAACCGGACAGGGGCAGATTTGGTCCACTCTGCAAGCAACCAGTCCAACAGGTGCTCAGGGTCAGTACCCCCAGCTAGAGCCCCTCAGAATCCTCCAGAATGGCCAGAGCCCACCCACCCAGCTCAGGAATGCTGGAAACACCCCTCGTGTGGTTTTTGCCCGAAACCCCAAGTTCTGCTTCACTTCAGCCAAGACCGAGGCTGACTCCACTGAAGGCACGGCCACCAGAACATGAGAAATTTCCCCCCAAACCCTGCGGTTTGCCTTCCCCCTATGGACAATTTTTCCAGGCTCTGATCTGGGCATTTCCTCCCCTGAAACAGCTTTAGCACCTGCCCTGCACCCGCAACAGGGGGCCGAGGGCCAGATGGGGCCCCTCAGGAGTGTCCCAGGAGAGAACGCCACAGAGCATCCTGAATGCAGCCGGAAAGCTGCCGGTGTCACCGTCCTCCCCAGAGATGGTGGCAGAGAGATGGGAGTGAGCCTCCCAGGGCTTTTCCAGAGAAGGCTAACTCTGATTTGACAAGATCGCTTCATTGACAAATTATGGTTTGAAAACAGGGGTCTTTGCCAAGATTAGCTAGATGAATTAAATTGAATACTTTATGGGCCAATTGGGCTTAGACACACAAGGAATTTGTGTCTGGTGCAGAAGCTCTCAGTGTACATGCAAAGCAACAGAATAATGATAATCATAATAATATCAATAAGATGGGGTAGTAAAAAGAAGGATAAATACCACTACTACAACCACACTACACATAGACAATGCTGGTAATAGTCAACATTCCTCCAAGTCCACCCCAAAACAGAATGGGAAAGGAAAACCAGGCACGGGTAGGGCCCTCAGGAACCCCCAAACACCATCTGACCAGTGTTCCTCAGCCTGGGCAACTTGAAAATGGATGGATTCAACCCCCAGAATTCCCTAGTCAGCACGATTTATGGTTTCATCCCACACGCTGGCTTGGGAATTCTGGGAGTTGAAGTCCACCCACCTTCAAGTTGCCCAGGCTGAGGAACACTGGTCTGGACTCTTCATTTTTGCAGAGAGAAAAAGGATTTGCAACAACGTTCAATCAAGACAAAGGACTTTCCCACTTCTGAAGCAGCAGAAGCAGAAGCGGGTCCTGGTCTACTCACTGTTCATCAAATTGATGCTGCCTTGGATTTCAGCTTGGGTCAAACAGTGGTCGTAAATGTCTTCCCCATCAGGTTTCTTCTGCAGATGCTGAGAACAGCAAAGAGAAACGGTCCAAAGCGGCATTTTGCCATCTGCAGAATAGCTCCAAATGAACCAAACAGAGGAAGAGAAATTGCCCGGAGGGAGGTGGGATTCATCCCACGACCCGTGACTGCACTTCTCTTGGAACTTACCAGGGAGGAAAAAAAATAATGCTAATTTGCATTCTCTAATTGCGCATTTGCATAATCAGGGATGGGAACTGAAATCAGTTGAGCAGAAGAGTTTTCCACGCCAGAGCACTGAGAGGCTGCTCACGTGCCCCAGATCGCCAGCAAAAGTTTGGCTTCTCTTCTGCAATCAACCAAACCCCAGTGAGCAGGGCTCACATCCCACAAGAGCAGGCAGGCAGGTAAATAGGTAGGTAGGTGTGTGTGTGTGTGTGTGTGTGTGTGAGTGGGAGCGAGGGAGGGAGGGAGAGAGAGAGGGAGAGAGAGAGAGAGAGAGAGAGAGAGAGAGAGAGATGGGGAAGAAATCTTATTATGCTTACCCGATTCTTTGCGTTCTCGGCCTTCTCTTCTTTGGCCCGGCAGAGCTCTTCCTGGTAGGGGCCTCCCAAACTCTCCTGCAGACCCACCAGCCTGGCGCTGGGGTTGCACAAAGCCGCCATGGTCTCTGCCACAATCCCCACTTCTACCGCTTTGTTGATAGCCAGGATGGCAGCATGCACTGAAGGGGAAAAGCCGGGTTAATGTGGGGGAGAGGAGAGCAGCAGATCCCGTGGATCAGACAGCCGTCAGCGCATTCGGCACCTGCTGCCTCGTCGACCGAGAGCTCCTTAGCCAGGATGCCACCGATTTTGCTGAAGGAGGGTAGCTGCAAGCCATATTTCTCTAGCTCCCCTTTCATGTGGTTTATTTCCTCATCTGGAAGACAGCAGAGAGAGAGGTCAGGCGAGAGGGTCTAGGCTGCCATTCTCTCCCTCCCAATCTCTCAGGGTCTTCAGTTTATCAATGTTTAAGGAGCAGAATTCTCAGGTTATAAGAAACTGAGTTTCTCCCTTCATTCATTCTCCAAGACCCCTCCGTTCTCCTGCAGCAGGGGTGTCCAACATTGGCAACTTTAAGACCTGTGAGCTTCCTCCCAGAATTCCCCAGCCAGCAGTGGGAGCTGAAATGCACAAATCTTAAAGTGGCCCAGGTTGGAAACTCCTGTCCTACAGCAAGAGTTAGCAAAATTCAGAATAAATGAAGTGCCCTGCAAAGAAGAGAAGCAGGCCAATGAGAGATTGTATTTTTTATAACTGCCCTCAAACTCTAGGATTCCAAGAATCCAAAGAATTCCACGTCTCCTTTTGTCTGTCTTACCTGTAAAGTCAACTTTTCCATACAGATCCTGAATCTGGGGAGCCAGCCCACATTTAAACAGGTATAAACTGGAAGACAGATCAGAAAAATAAACAAGAGAACTTGGTTGAACATGGGTCAAACACAAATGGTATGTGAGAATGTTCTTTTCTTGATCCCTCACCTTCCTTTGCAAGACAGGTAGGAATCTTTATTCCTTAATCAATCCCTGATCTTTAATGCAATTTTAACTCGGTCTTGGCCTAAGCTCTAGTGGCCTTAAAACTGTTGCAAGATCAACTTCTATAGTAGGATTTATATGTACAAACTCCTTACTAATTGACTGAAAAGAAGCCTAAATTAGAGGGAGAGTGGATAGAAACAGCCCCAACTACATTCTCACCTAATCTGACAACTATCTTATTGTCCTTGAAAAGGCTAAGCAGTTGGCTAATCTTTGGATGGGGCACCACAAAGAAATCCCCCAGCTATCGGCAAGGCTAGGAAGCAGGAACCCCCCCCCCCAAGATCTCAGAAAGCTGCTTGGTTTGAAGTGGCAAAGTTTACCCCACTCCTTGTGAACGGAGACCAAAGTGATATCTATTGGGGGAGGGTCTTTTCTCCCCCCCACACACACCTGAAGGCTCACCTTAAGGCATGGATGCAATACACCACACGAGGCATGTTCTTCTTGTCATAGATATCGGTGGTTTCGGGCTGAAAAATCTGGGAGGAAGGATCAGGTGTCAAAGCATGAAGGGGACCCTCCCCCAGACCCCCAGCGAAGGTGGGAAGGGTCCAGGGCCTCACCACAGGCAGCCCAACACGGCTCATAGCATCCCGCCAGCGGTTGATGTTGTCTGTGTGTCGAAAATGGAGCCCACAGGCCTTCAGAGGAAGAGAAGACAGAGAACATTGTCACCCCTACTAGACCCATCACGAGACTTTGGGGGCAGGGACTGCTCCAGAATTGAGCAGCCCCCTATTTTGGAGTCAGAAGGAAGACTTGGCAGCTGTGCCAAGACCCTCACCAGAGGCTGGCACCCCCTTTGCTAGGCACTGGGAAGTCCCAAGCTGTAGCTTCTCCTCTGCCAAATATGAAGATGGAGCAGTCTTGCTTCTGGATCAGAGGTGTTCAACCCTGGCAACTTTAAGACTTGTGGACTTCAAGTCCCAGAATTCCCTAGCCAGCCATGGCTAGCTGGGGAATTCTGGGACTTGAAGTCCACAAGTCTTAAAGTTGCCAAGATTGGAAACCCCTATTCTACATGGTGCGATGGGCATGGGAAAAGTCAAGCGAATGTGCAGGAGAGATTGTGGCAAGGAGGGGGGGGGGGTCCCTGTGAGACCATCTTGCCCTAGGATCCCAGCAACAGGATCCTGCCCAAAAGCCCTGGGCAGGGAGGAGCATCCGTCCAAGTTGGGGGAAAAGCAAGTCCCAACAAGCAGAAGGACAAGGGGGAGAGACACCTCCTGGTGGGAAGGACCAGCTGCCTTGGTGAGCAAGACTGCCCAGGAATGGCAGATCCCAGACCAGGGCCAGAAGCTGTCTGTCTTCCTCTTGGGCTCTCCACCCTAGTCACACAAGCATCTTACGAGCAGAGCTCAAGCTGTGGTGGCCTGCAAGAGCCTCAGCTCAGACTCCTGACCAGGACCACCAGCCTCGGGGCTGGAAGGGGGCCTTTCCAAGCTTGTTTACCCCACTCTTGGCCTCCAGAGGCCCCAGGACCAGCTCTTGGTCCCCCGAGGGGATGGGGAGTAGCAGAAGTCAGCAAGACCAGAGGGGAGCCCCTGCCTGACCCCCAGACCAAGAGGGCTCCAGGCCTGAGCCCCTCCCTCACCTGGAAACGGGCCTGGTCGAGGTCATAGATCTTCCCCAAGGGACAGACATCCGGAGCGAAGAAATGCCCGAGCTTGGCCAGGGTGACGCCAGTGCGCAGACTCTCCTCCAGCTCCGTCGGAGGGGGCAGCGGCTCCTTCAGGCAGGCCTCCATCCAGCTGAGGGGGAAAGTGGGGCAGGGTTACCCCTCTCGACCCCAGGCATCCATCGGATTTTGTCAGCAGCCCCTCAGGAGACACCTAGTCTGACCTAGGATTTGGGGCAGGGGCACCAGCAAAGCCCTGTCCTCCCACTGGGCAGAAGAGTCCAAACACCGACCACTTTTTTAAATTAAGTGGCTGACCCTCCAAGTCCCGTGGCCAAGGGGAGGAGGAAGCATCTCTACCCAGTTTCCTTCTGGATGTTCACACGTGTGCCCTCCGGTCCCTCGTCCCTGGGGGGCTCCCTAGCTGCACCCCTCACTGAAATAAGGCCTTGCCTTTTACAGGAAGAGCCCCCCTTCTTTTCAGAGGGGCAGTGCTGGGAGCCCCCTCGATGGTCATGTAGTTCACACTCCTTTAGGGGATCCAAATTAAAGCGTGCACGCAAACACACCCACAACATTCAGCCCCTCCCCCTCCCCCGTTCAGATCCACTTGCTTCAAAACAAAAGCAGTTCAGACATGGGAATGAAACTTTACGAGGAACAGCTAAACGGCTGGGGCAGAGTTTCTCAACCTTGGCCACTTGAAGATGGGGAGACTCCCAGAATTCTGTGGGAGTTTCTCAAGTGGCCAAGGTTGAGAAACTCTGCTCTGGTGGATCCCGCACTGAACAGGGGTTGGTCAGGATGACCTCTGAGGTCCTTTCAGCTCTTTGCGGCTCTCCAGCCTGATCACCTCTTATAATTATGGCCTCAAAGTTGTTTCTGGCTTCTAGCAAGCACATGGATTGATTTTAATCCATGATAATTGATCACACATATTGCAAGGGAAATTACCACTTCTCAGGATCTTTTGGGGAGGGGGGCAGTTTTTCAAATACAAAGGGCTTCCCCGGGAAAGCGAATCGGGTGTTCTCTCCCACCCGGCTACCCCCAAAATTGTCTCACCGCTTGGCTTCCTCCAAGTAGCAGAGATACTGGTAGGCCACGTTCTGCCGCCGCCTCTCGTCCATCTCATCCGCCGTGAGACGCTCATCTGCAAGAACCAGAAAGAATTTCACCCCACGACAAAATTCCAGGAGAGTCCCCGGGCAATTTTTGTAAGTCGCCCAGTCGCCTCATGGGTGAGAATAGGAATGTAATATGCGGGTTCTCTTTGATCTCCCCAAGAATGGCATCCCAGGGGCCCAAGATGCCCCCCCACATCCCGCTCCCCAGTTTTGGGATTTGCTTTCAGCCTTGGCTGGGCAGCCCGGCTGAACTGAGGGATGAGTGTTTTAGCCCAGTAGAGTTTGTGAATCCAACCTTTGTCACTCAGTCAGTGAGACACAGCTGAGGGAGCCACAAATAAACATAGCACAGCAAGTGTATTTATTTTCTCATTGCCTGCAGGGTCTCTGGAGGTTTCATACAGAATATTCATGCCACATCAGCGGACGCAACAATTTGCATCTTAGCTTTCTCCAGACTCTGAACTTTAGAACATGCTTATTTGTTTTTAATCTGCCAACTTCTAAAGTATTGTTTCTCAGCCTTGGCAAGTTTTAGAGGTGTGGACTTCAACTCCCAGAATTCCCTAGCCAGCTGTATTTGTTATTTATATGCTGGCTAGGGAATTCCGGGAGTTGGAAGTCCACACCTCTAAAACTTGCCAAGGCTTGGAAACCTTGCTCTAAACCAGGGACAAGGGCCTCACAAGGTTGTAAATGTAATACAAAAAACAAAGGAAGTTTGTTATTTATATGCCTCAACTATACTACGTGTTTTATACGGGGCCCAAGACGATTCCTCTTCGCTCAGGCTGGCCCAGACAAGCCCAAAGGCTGGACATCCCTGCTTGCCTCAAGGGCCCCGCTGACCCAGCAGCCCCGGGAGGACCTCCCCGTCCGCTCTCCGACCCTTCCCCGCCAAGGGCGCCTCGAGGGCAGGCGCGGCTCCCGCTGCCCGCTTAACGTCCGCCCTGCGAGGCCAGGGGAACGAGGCTCCGTCGGGTTTCTCCCCCCCCTCCCCGGGAGCGCAAAGGGCAAGGCCGCCTCCGGAGGCCCAACGGCCAGACCCAGCGCCGGTAGCCAGCCTGGCGCGGCTCCGGAATGGAGGGACCGGCGCGCACAGCTCCGCGCTCGGCTTCCCCGCCGCCGCGTCCTGCAGCCAGCTCCCTCCAGCTCCGCCCGCCCGCAGACTCACAGCTGGAGGGAGCCCGGCCGCGCTGCGCCATCGCCGCTCCCGCTCGCTCCGCCTGCGAGGTTTGAATCTCCCGCGCCGCCGCCTGGCGCTCGCTGGGCCGGCCGCGGAGCCTGCTGGGCGCCGGAGCTCTTCCCGGGGGCGTGACGGGGCCGGGCGGGGCTTCGCCCCAGAGGCGTCCCGTCCAGTTCAGACGCTCCGGCTGCCCCGGCGCGGCCGACACCGCAGCTGCCCCTCCGCGAGGCTTCCCCCGCCCCGGGAGTCACGCCCGCCAGTGGGGGCTGGGCCCGGGTCCCTGCGGGCATCCCTTCCGCGGGGCTCCTGTCGGAAGCGCCGCCGCCTGCCTGCCTGCCGAAGAAGGGAGCTGCCGCATGTCCAGGGCGGCCCTGCTGGGACTCGGCCTGCTGCTATCCAGGGCGGGGGCCGCGGCGCGCTGTCCAGCCGCGCTCTGGCCGCCTCCCCGCGCCATGCAGAGCGCCGCCGCGCCCGGCCTCAAGTTCCTGGGGTAGGCGGCGGCGGGGACGGGCCGGCGGAGGGCAGGAGGCGCTCTCGCTCCCCGGCAGCCGTAGGGGAGCGGGGGGGGGAAGGGCGCCCGAAAGGAAGGCGAGCCCCGAAGCCGCGGAGGGAGGAAGCGGGGCCGGCCGGCCGAGACAGCTCCCGTCGGCAGAGGCGGGTTTGGAAGGGGGGGGGCTTTGGGGTATCGACTCTGGTCCCGTCTTTGCACAATGCACGAGCCCCCCCGGCTCCCCCCCAAAAAGAACCGAGAGGCAAACGCCCCTCCCCGCCGCCTTCAGCCTCCCCGGAAGCGCTGCCCCGAGACCGGGCCGGAGTTTGTGTTCGAGCCGCAGCCTGAGGTCGCTGGACTAAAGGTGTAAGGAGCCGGTTAGTGACTGGAGGGGCCGCCCAAGAGGAGGAGAGATGCCAGCCGGGCACGCCGGTCTCGAAGGCGCAGAGGCCCTCGGCTCCTCCTCCAAGGGCACCCCTGGATCCTGAGAAGGGGCAGCAGCTTCCCCCCCCCCGTCCCCAGCCAGCGACTTTTCTCTTGATCTTTTATTTGCCGGAACCTGGTCGAGGAGGCAGACAGATCTGATCCGTCCAATCTCCTTTGGAGCGAGGATCAGCTCATGCTGGGTTTTCATCTCCCAAAAAGGGCGAGGGCAGCAGGCAGCCCCGTCCTTGCCCGCCCGGGTGGCACAGAATGCGCCAAGCAGTCCAGCCAGGAGCGGGGGAAAGGAGGTTCGGGGTCCAGTCGACCATTTGGGGACTGTGGGCCTGCCTCTCTGGGTAGTGGGCAGGGAACGATGCAACAGGAATGAGGCCTGGGCTCAGCAGTTCCCTCCTGTCCCCTCCAGGCAGAAAGAAGCCCAGGCCATCGACCAGGAGCTGTTTGAGGAGTACAAGTTCAGCGTGGACCAGCTGATGGAGCTGGCGGGTCTCAGCTGTGCCACGGCCATTGCCAAGGTAAGGGGGGTCTCGCCTCAGCTGTAGGAATTCCACGCAGTTGAAACCTTCACATTGTTGTCTTGAGCAATTCCGTTTCCAGAGAATGAAAAGCTGGATTTGTACAACGTTCTGGTGAGAGAGCGGAGCTGAGAGTGAAGGATGCTGGTATCCGTGTGCCTTCCCATGTTCATGAGAAGGAGAGGGTTGTGTGCAGCATGGCATGATATAAAAACGCAGTATTTATATTCTCTTAAACCCCCCCCCCCTTAGAGTTAAGTTCTGTGAAAGTTGCGTAGGAATTATAGAGCTTTTGGCCTCTGTATGTGTGTGTGTGCGTGGGCAGTGTTTCCTTGAAAAGAAAGTTCTCCAAATAATTTATGTTTCCAATGGGATGAAATAAAAGAATCATCTTTCATTTCTTTTTTTATAAAATATTTTATTAATTTTCAGTTTTTACAAATCATAAGTGCTTGGTAAACAGCGTGTTGTCTGGGTCCATTTGTTACTCAATACATATTCACTCCCTCAATATAGATTCCCATTTTATTTCCCCTCCACTCCAAATATTCTGTCAAAACTATTGTATTCCCCAAGTATTGGCTTTATCTAATGCAACCAATCTTAGAGTCAATATAGCAATGTCTCACATAATTTTTATAGTCTTTGTATGTAGCCGTTATAATCCAATAGGTCCCAAGATATAGGTCCACCACTGAAAGCAATGTTTTGTAACAGATCTTCAGTTCAGGGGTCCAAAACTTATCAATCATCTTTCATTTCTTGATATATTTTTTCTATCCTTTTGGGGGGAGGGAGTAACTATCTTCCTTTTAAGTAGACATCAGTGAGGGGACTGGGAATATGATGCAAATGTATAAAACTCTATTGTTGAAGGTCACAAAATCCAGGAGTCCTAAAACTGCGTTTATGTACAGTGTTATCTATTTCAAGAAGCTTATGAATAGACTTTTGAGAACTAGAACCCTTGCATTTCATTAGATTAGGATTAGGAATCTTGACACTGTTTCCCGCTACCCCTTTTGTGTTTGTGGGTCTCCCAAGAAATTTGTCATTCTCAGGATGAACCTCTTTTCCCCAAGGCATACCCAACCAGTACTTTCACCATCAGCCAGCCAGCGGTGCTGATCGTGTGCGGCCCTGGGAACAACGGTGGAGATGGATTAGTCTGTGCCCGTCATCTGAAAATGTTTGTGAGTGATTTGCACCTTTCCCGGTTGAGTTTGTAAGTGCTGCTGGCAGGGAACACTTGCAATGCACACACACACACCCCGGCAGCTGAGCCTCAGGCTTGCCAGCCTCTGCCATGGAGGAGTGTTTGTGCCATGTTTGGATGGCTGGCCTTCCGCCCATTGAGGAAGTCTTCTCACACTGTGGTCGCACAAAAGGCATCACAAAAGGAAGAAAGCTGACCCCTGAGACCAGAAATGCCTTCCAGCAGCAACAGATCAACCTTCTTGTCTTTGCAGGGCTACGAGCCAACCCTCTATTATCCCAAATGCCCCAACAAGCCACTTTTTGAAGGTTTAACCACCCAGTGTAAGAAGATGGAGATCCCGTTCCTCACAGAGTTTCCATCTGAAGTAAGTCAAAAAGAAAGAAAGTTGAGGTCTACCCAACTTCATACTGCCAAGGTCGAGATACAGTTCTGCAAGGGTGTGTTAGGGTTAATAGCAACAGCACTTAGACTTATAAACTGCTTCACAGTGCTTTACAGCCCCCTCCAAGCAGTTTGCAATGGTCGTATTTCCCTCCAACAATCCGGGTCCTCCTTTTACCGACCTCAGAAGGACAGAAGGCTGAGCCAACCTTGAGCCAGTGAGCATCAAACTGCTGGCAATACTGCATTCTAACCACTGCACCACCACAGCTCCTGGTTAAGGCTGGTGGGGGATTCTGGGAGTTGAAATCCACCCGTCTTCAAGTGCCAAGATTGAGAGCCCCGGTTGGAGACGGCTGGATGAAGCATCTCGTCTCCATCTGCACCCTTGAGTTGTGTTCACACAAGTTTGATTTCCATCGCAGGCTGCCCTCATCGATGAGGTTTACGGCCTGGTGGTGGATGCCATCTTTGGATTCAGCTTCCAGGGAGCCGTGCGGGAGCCTTTCGGTACAATCCTGAGTACCTTGGAAAAGGTGACCATCCCTGTGGTCAGCATCGATATTCCTTCCGGTACGTTTGGCCCAGGTGGGGTGAAAGGCTTGGGCTGGTTCGTGCTGGCCTCTGTTCTTCTGTTGCCCACCCAAATTTCCCTCTCAGAAATAAGCTCTGCTGAGCCCCAGAAATAATTTCGCTGGAGAGCAGTTTTGGAGAATTCAGGTCAGGGAATAGAATTTGGGCCAGTGCTGAGGAATTTAGCTTTTAACAGATTCTAGACTTGTAATTTGGAAGAGATAAAATACTTTTTCCCCTTCCATTCAATTGTGTCTGATTGTGAGGCTGCCTATAATTTTCTTGGCAAGGTTTTTCGGGTGGGGGGCGGTTTGGGTTTTGCCATTGCCTCCTTCCTAGGGCTGAGAGAAAGTGGCTGTTCCAAGGCCACCCATTGGCTTTGTACCAAGACAGGATTAGAACTCTTTTGGTTTCTAGCTTTGCGTTTCTACTATTAGCCTGGATTATTTTCATAGCTGCAGTTTATTTCTCCTCCCCCCCCCCACTTGTTAATTGTGAAGTCGTATCCGACCCATCGCGACCCCACGGACAATGTTCCTCCAGGTCTTCCTGTCCTCTACCATCTTCTGGAGTCCATTTAAGTTCACGCCTACTGCTTCAGTGACTCCATCCAGCCACCTCATTCTCTGTCGTCCCCTTCTTCTCTTGCCCTCCATCTTTCCCAGCATCAGGCTCTTCTCCAGGGAGTTCTTCCTTCTCATTAGGTGGCCAAAATACTTGAGTTTCAACTTCAGGATCTGGCCTTCTAAAGAGCAGTCGGGGTTGATCTCCTCTAGGACTGACCGGTTTGATCGCCTTGCAGTCCAGGGGACTCGCAGGAGTCTTCTCCAGCACCAGAGTTCAAAGGCCTCAATTCTCTGGCACTCAGCCTTTCTTACGGTCCAACTTTCACAGCCATATCTTGCAACTGGGAAAACCCTGGCCTTGACTCTACGCACTTTTGTTGGCAGGGTGATGTCTCTGCTTTTTAGAGTGCTGTCTAGATTTGCCATAGCTTTCCTCCCCAGGAGCAAGCGTCTTTTAATTTCTTGGCTGCATACTACATCCCCATACTACAAATGGTTAACTATTCAGAGTGGACATTGGTAATTAAAGCAGGATTCTCCGAAGTGGTCAATATCAACCCCTCCTGGGCTGATGGGACTATTCACTGTTGTTAATTATTATTATTATTATTCATAGTACAATTAGTTAAAGTTGTACTTATTATTTTCACATAATAAATCTTTGGGGATTGATGAACAGTGGGAAGCTTCATGAAGAGCCAGCCGAAGAGGTGGGGACCCCCCGCTTTAGGCAAATTTGAAAGTGCAAAATGGCATCCTGCGCTGACCCCCGTGTCCTCTTTCTCCCCAGAGGCTCCAGGGCTGTGCAGGGGGGGGTCCAGACCTCCCCCCAAAACAGAGGAAGCAGGGGCCGGTTTAATTCTTCGGGCTCTGTATTGCTGACCTCACTCAGCGTTGTTTGAATTTTTCATGTTCTCCTTCTGTTCTGCTTTGCCTCCCCCTGAAATCTGGAGAAAACGGGGGTGATTTTGCCAAGGGGGGAGTCAGGGGCTCTGCAGTTTAAGTAAGCCAGAGGGCCAGGGCGGTGCTGCCTTTGGTGCCTCGGGCCGAGCCGGACCCTCAGCCGGCTCCCTGCAGACAGCCTGCCTTTCGCTCACGGCCCTCTTTCCTCTCGTTGCCAGGCTGGGATGTGGAGAAGGGGAATCCTGATGGGCTGCAGCCGGACATGCTGATTTCACTCACAGCACCCAAGAAGGCGGCCCGGCACTTCCAGGGGCGCTACCATTTCCTGGGGGGCAGGTTTGTGCCCGAGGCCCTGCAGAAGAAGTACGCGCTCAACCTGCCACCCTACCCAGAGACGGACTCTGTCCTGCGCCTCTCCTAGAGCTGGCCCTGCAGAGTGCAACAGACTACAAGGCCCATCTGCTAGGGAAGGGGGGCTGTGGCTGTAGGGAGCAGTTCTGCAGGCCCACATCCCAACATCCCCCCCCCATGAGGACAGATCAGATCTTGCTCCCAGAGCCAGCAAGAGGCTCGCCCAGTTTGATTGTATTTCAGATCTGTGCAAGGGAGCAGCTCTTTGTTAGTCTCTCAAGGAGGCTTAGTTGATGCTTTGTATAAATTGGATTTTGTCTTCCTTGAATAAAAATAAGATGGGGGAAAGCTCGTTCCATCTTTTTCGAAATCAACAGTCTTTGCTAAGGTGATGGAGAGGCGGGAGGGAAGACACTACAAGATGCGGAGAGGGGGCTGTTCACGAGAACGTTGTGGCCGGTGGGGTCTGTCGCAGGGATAGGCAATTCCATCCCAAGGACCCTTGGGGTGAGGCGCCTTCTCTCTGGCTACCTTCATGCTGGGGAGCAAACACGGCTGAATGGGCCTGAATGGACTTTTTTGAGGGAGGCAATGCGATCCTGAGGCTCAGCCAAAAGTGGGATCGATTGGAAAATAGCAGCAGTGAAATTCTCATCTTTTTGAAAAGAGGATCCAGAACAGGTTCTATTGAATGGAACAGAACTTTTTACATCCTGCTTCTTCAAAGCCCAGGAAAAACAGGCCGAGCTCAGCAGATAGTCAAGCCGTCTGCAAGGGGGGCACGGGCAGCAGAGTGAGTCAGAATGAATGTTGGGTGCTATGGGCCTGGATTGAAAGATTCAGATAAAAATAGCTGCCAGTTTGGGCAGACTTGGTGATTTGAACCAAACAGGAGGACACCCCAAAGTAGGTTGCTTTCCTCCTTTCTTCATCTTTGTATCTCCCAAAACAGCCCCTAGGGACTTTGGATGGGAGGAGCAAGACGCTGCTAGAACAGAGAGAGCAAGGAGCCCAGGCCCACCCAAGGAGAGCATCACACCCAGTGGGGCCCGGCCCTTCCAAGCACCCCTTTGTGTTGGGAGAACTCCAACCTCAGGCCCTTCCGCCCCACTGCGGTAGAAGCAGATCCCAGCACCCACCTTGGCAAGGGCAGAGCGAGGTTCCCCACTGCCAGACACACCAGCTGATACTTCCTACTGAGAGATGGGAGTCATTGTGAAGGACAGAAGACCTTCTGGTTATTTTTACTAGCATTTAATCATATTGTCCCATCTTTCTCTCTTGCATGGGACCCACTCTGGACAGGAGGACCACCGTTGGCATTTCCTTCTGGTTTAGCATTGGGTGGGAAGGGGAAAAAAATATAAGCAAAGGGCAAACTAATTGAACACAACAGTTTGGGTTATCTAGAAGTTATATTAATATGAACTAAAAGGAGGAGGAACCTAATTTTGAGAACAAAGTGGGGGAAGGAATAAGAGGGGAGGGGGAGAAACAGTTCCGAAACAGTCGTGGGGCCTGGAATCCATGCACAATGCAGCATCTAAAGCAGGGGTGTACAACCTTAAGACCTCTGGACTTCAGCTCCCAGAATTCTGGGAGTTGCAGTCCGCAAAGTAGCCAAGGTTGGACAGCCCTGGTCTAAAGCATTTGGTGCAAGACTGGGCTGGCTGTACTGAACTGGAGGAGTTTGGTTCCAGTCCTTTAGGGATGGGCAGCGGCCAGGGTTGGCTATGAACATGGCTCGCCCCTGGAAAGGTCCCCAAGAGCCCGGAGCACATCAGAGGCGCCTGGCATGGTGTTAGGAAGCCTGGAAGCCCAACAGTCTCTCAATGGCGGCGTTGATGTCTCCTCCCGTAGCAATGAGGGCCTGGAGGTTGGCCTCGCGGTTGATGAAGCCCATAGCACTCAGCTGCTCCAGCTGTTGTTGGAACCGGACTTCTGGGCTTTGCGCCTGCCGTGAAAAGAAAACCCTCGTGAGCTGTTCAGCAACAGGGGTGGGTGTCAGTCTATCATCGTTCCTAACCGCTGTCCGAGTGGCATCACCTTTCAGGTGTCTAAGCTCTTATTTATACACTACTCCGGGGTCTGTAACCTTTAACTGGGCAAAACAGTGCACCGCAGGGAACCATCTTTGAACCAAAGTAGGTCAAATGACTAATTTACAAAGTAGGTCCAAAATCCGGAGCTCACAACTCTTGTGGAATTGAAATTTGGCAAAGCTTATATAACATTTTATGGAATAAAAATTATCATAATAGTATGACATAATACAAAATGTCATAAAACATTTCCTGTGGTCAACTGCTGACATTACACAGTTCAACATGAGCTACTTTCAAGGCAGGTCCATCTCTGAATATCTCCCTGAATTTTGGGGAACTTTTCTGTTACATCAGAAGCGTAGCCATTGTTGAAGCTGGTAAGGAAATATGCCTGAAACAAAGGCCCAAGAAGTCACAGGTGATCTAGTTATTATATTTACAAACCACCAAATCACTAAGGACCCTGGCAGTTTACAGATAAGAACACAGATTAAAAGCCCACAAACTCATGAAAAACAAACATTAAACCACACTACAACCAAGCCAAGTTGGGATGAAGGGCCAAATGCTCTCTGGAAGAGATTTGGAGCCATCCAAAGAGCCTGTGAAGTGCCGCGGGAGGCCCTGTCTGACTCTCATTCAAAGCTTCCAGTGGAAAGGAACTTCCCGCCCCCTTGAACAGTGGGGGCTTGAGAGAGAGAGAGCCCCTGGAGGAGAAAGGGCTCAGCAATCAGAAGAGGATAAATGCGTGTGGGACACGAGGGGCTGCCTCCACCACCGCCTACCTGAGAGTTGGCACTGGCCAGGAGCTGGACCATGTGCTGCATGAGCTGCTGGGAGGGGTTACTGTCCCCAGCTGGGGAGGCGCTGGCAGGGGCCAGGACGCTGGATACGGGAGGCTCCGGGACTGCAGTTCCTCCGGCAGAAGGTGCAGGGGGCTGGGGTGGGCCAAGAGATCCCAGACTGCAAGGCAAGAATGCGTTTCTTCAGCAAAGAAGCAAGGCAGAGAGCTGGAGACCTGTCTGCAGCAGCCACCAGAAAGACGCCACTTTGACGCTGTCCCTCCAGGGCTGAATCCCGCGACCGGGCCCACCTGGGCACGAGGCCTGGGGCCTCCGTCTGCAGCATCTGGAGTCCCTGCTGGATCTGAAGCAAAGCCTGCATGGCACGAGGGTTCGTCAGGATCGCGAGCGAGTCAGGGTTCTGCATCTGGGGGCGTAATAAAGAGCCATAAGTGAATCATGAGTTTGTTCAAGGCCGCCGCCAAGGTGGAGGCTAGATCTCCTTGTGGGTCCAGTGCTTGGACCCAGAACTGCAACCGGGGGAGGTGGGGAAAAGAGAGGAGGGGGCTGAAACAGAGGGCTACGATTCCGGCCTCTACTCCAGACTCAAATCTGCAGCCCCCACCAGTTTTTACCCCAGGCGCACCTGCTGTAGGAAGGCGGGCAGCTGAAGGCGCAGCTGCTCCTGAAGGGAAGGGTTGCCAGAAAAGAGCGGAGCGTTGACCATCATCTGGAAAGAAACAGAGGAGCCCGGCCTAGTGGGCGGAGTCCAAGCCCTTCCCTAACTACCCTCGCAGGAACACACCACCGGAGATCCCGGCATGCGGGGCTGTCTCCCCAACTTCATGGCAGCCTCACTTTCCACATTATGACAGGGCATCCTCATTTAGTGACTATAACTGGGACCTGCCACTTGGTCATTAAGTGGAGCTGAGTGAAACCGCAACTGTGCTTACGCTCTGACTTCAGATTTCCTTTGCTTTACAGACCTTCGAAGGTCGTAAATGTGAGGCTTGGCCACAAAGTTACTTTTTCATCGCCATCGTAACTGCAAATGGTCACTAAACAGGACTACCTGTATTAATCTTAAGGAAACCACTTTGCACTGCAAATGTAATGCAACAGAGGGACAACTCTGTTGGAGAATTAGAGCATCTGACTAGCTCCCGTGGCCCCTCAACCACCCAGCCACGGGGGAAAAGAGCTGCACCCACCTGAGCGGCAACCTCTGGGTTCTGGGCGAGCGTCTGCAACATTGTGCGCATGTAAGGAGCCGAAATTGCACTCTGCATCAGCTGAGGATTCTCAGAGACCTGCTGGAGGAGACCCTGCATCTCCGGGCTGCTGAACATTCCTGCGGGGTTGGGAGAGGCCATTCATCTATAGCCAATCACGCCAGAGCAAGAATCCCCCCCCCAAGCCTCTCAGAAGGCACTGGAGAAAATGCCATTACTGTCGTTTACGGGACGATTACCAGCCCCCCTCGGAATAAAGGGCACAATCGGAAGCCACACAATCTCAGGCAGAGGCAGAGAAAGAATACTGAAAGTGGAGCAGGACTGCGGCAGCATCAGAGGCTGGGTTCTGTGAGGAGGGAGAGGCTTTCTCCAGAAATGGGGGGGGGCATGTGAGGGATTTCACTAGTTGTCATGTCCCAGCAGCCACGGCCAGGGTTGGTTCGGCAGCTGGTTCACCTTTCCGCCTGCCTATAAATGCTGCTTTGCCCAAGCTGCACTGGGTTGCATGAGAAATAGACTCTTCGCTTGAAAAGTCAGGTTTTCTACTTAACTGGCATTCCAGATATAACCCACGAAAAGCATCCACTCATTCGCCTTTCAGAGACCTCCAGTGCAAGGCGGGATGCTGCACCGAGGGCCCCTCCTTGAAAGAAAGGCGATGGCACTGAGCCAGAAAGCCTGGTGAGGCTGCCAAAGGGCCTCCGGGTGAAGGCCGTACCTGATCCCAAAGCAGCTGCATTGACCCCCAGAGGGTTGGAGATGGTGGGCGTGCTCCGGCTTGGGACGGGCTCAGGGCTTCCTTCGTTCTCCGGCTCCTGGCCCTGAGAAGCAGGAACGGGATTCCAAGGGTTGGGCAACGGCTCTCGGTTCTCCGTCCGCAGAGGCTGGGAGTTTGGGGTGTCCGAACTCCCAGAGAGCGCAGAGAAGGGATTGTTGCCAAACTAGAAAGAGAAGACAATGGCAGAGGACTTGTGCATCCTCACTTAGGGCTGCCTTCTCGCAGGTGTGATGGGAGAGCAGCAGGTCAAGGATTGATCAGAAAGTTTTCTCTTCACAGAATCTACAAATCTGTGGGATCTGGCTAATCTCTGTTTGCAATTGGATCCTGTAAAGCAGAAGCAGAATCCATTTTCTGAGTAGGTTTGCAGATCAACTAACGTCAGGTAAAACTGACCTTGGCCCTCTCCTGGATCACGAGAACCACCACCGAGGAAAGCAGCTAAGCTCAGCTACTCGTGCATTTGCAATTATGAATGTCATTCTAGGCTACAACACACTGGGTC